TTGGTTCCGGGGATTGAACTCGGGTCCTTGCGCTTGCACAGCAGGCGGCGAAACCACTGAGCTAAATCCCTGGCCCATGTTTGCTAGTATCTTATAGAGGATTTTTGTGTCTGTGTTCTTTAGGGAGATAGGCTTGTAGTTCTTTTTGGTTGAATCTTTCTCTGGTTTGGGAGTCACGGTAATGCTTGCTTCCAGGAATGAATTTGGGAGTATTGCTTCTCTTTGAATTTCATTATAGAGTTTGAGAAGTAGCAGCATTATGTCTTCTCTAAATTTCTGGTAGAATTCAGCAGTGAATCCACTGGGGCCTGGGGTTTTCTTTGTTGGTTGGTTTTTAATTATATCTTCAATTTCGTTGATATTGGTTTATTTAGAATTTTTATATCTTCTTGATTCAGCTTTGGTAATTCATATCTAGGAATCTGTCAATTTCTTCTGTGTTTTCCATCTTATTAGAATATAGGTTTCCAGAGTAAGTATTGATGATCTTCCAGATTTCTGCAGGATCCATTGTGATTGCATCCTTTTCATTACTAATTGCATGGATTTGAGTCTTTTCTTTTTTTGATGAGGTTGGCTAAGGGCTTGTCAATTTTATTTAATCTTTCGAAGAACCAACTCTTTGCTTCATTGATTCTTTGTATTATTTTCTTAGTCTCCATTGCATTAATTTCTGCTCTGATCTTTATAATTTCCTCCCTTAAATGAGCTTTGGGTTTTATTTGTTCTTTTCTTTCTTGAACCTTGAGGTTGAACTTTAGGTTGTTTATTTGAGCTCACTCTGTTGTCCTTATATGGGTATTCACTACTATAAATTTCCCTCATAGAACTGCTTTCATTGTGTCCCATAAATTCTGGTATGTTGTATTGGCATTATCATTTAATTGTAGAAACTGTCTAATTTCTTCTTCTTCTTTTTTTTTTTGGTACTGGGGATGGAACTCGGATCCTTGCGCTTTCAAGGCAGGCAGCAGAACCACTGAGCCAAATCCTCGGCATGTCTAATTTCTTCTTTAATTTTATCTGGGACCCTTTGGTTGTTCAGGAGGGTGTTATTTAATTTCCATGTGTTTATGAAGTTCTTGTGGTTTATTTTGCTATTGATTTCCAGTTTCATTGCATTGTGGTCTGATAATATGCATGGGATAATTTCAATTCCTTTGCATTTACTTAAGCATGTTCTATGAGCTAATATGTGATCTGTTTTGGAAAACATCCCATGTGCAGCTGAGAATGTGTATTCTGATGTTATAGGGCAGAACACTCTGTAGACATCTATTAAGTCCATTTGTTCAAAAGTTTGGTTCAATTTTAATATTTCATTGTTTTGGGGGTTTTTTGGCTAGTTGATGTGTCTACAGTGGGATATTGAGGACCCCATTACAATTGTATTAGTGCTTATTTGATTTTTCATGTCTTTTCATATTTGTTTTATGTAGTTGGGTACACTAATATTTGGTACATATATGATTGTTGTCTCTTCCTTTTGTTTTCTTTACAAGGATGTAGTGACCTTCTTTGTCACTCTTTTTTTTTTTTTTGGTACCGGGGATTGAACTCGGGTCCTTGCGCTTGCCCAGCAGGCGGCAAAACCACTGAGCTAAATCCCTGGCCCTGTTGCTCTTAATGAGTCTTGGCTTGAAATCCACTTTGTTTTTTGGGGGTTTTTTGATACCAGAAATCGAACTCAGAACCTTGCACTTACAAGGCAGGCGTTGGAACCACTGAGCTAAATCCCTGGCCCTGAAATCCACTTTGTTTGGAAATAGAATAGCTATCCCTGTTTTTTTCTGGGTCCCTGTCTCATGGAGTATTGTTTTCCATCCTTTGACTTTCAGTCTATGAATTTTGGGGGGGGGGAGGTACCAGGGATCAAACTCGGGACCTTCCACTTGTGAGGCAGGCGGCAGGACCACTGAGCTAAATCCCCAGCCCCTATGAATTTCTTTTTTAATCAAATGGAAACAAACTCTTGAAAGGTCAAAGAGAAACAAGATTTCAAGACTTGAGTAACATTTTGATCCCTATGTAAGTTTGAAGGCAGGCAAAGAGGGCTGTCCCCCTGGCCAGGCTGGGTGAATTTCTCCCAAGAGGCCTCACAGGGCAGGGAACTTTTTACGCTCCAGGGTCAGGCCTTTGGTGCTAATCTTCCATCTGCCGAGTGGTCTAAAACTAAGTGATCTTTACAGAGCTGCTGCCCTCTGACGGAGCTCAAGTGGGCTGCCAAGGAGTGAGTAGCCGGCAGAATGCCTGTGACAATGAAGAACAGAACCCAAGGTCAGGCAGACCAGAGGTGAAGGTTGACCCATGGCCTCGGGGAGGGAGCTCACATTGAGCTGTAGAGTTGCTTGTGAACAAAGCTGTGCTGAACATGGAATTGGAGTGGAGCTGCTTGGCTGTAAACCTTAAATTATTAATGGGCTCTGATGGCCCACTACATATTGATTGATTGATTGACTGATTGATCAACTGTAGTAATGAAGACTGAACCTAGAGCTACATCTCTAGCCCTTTATTTATTTATTTATTATCTTGAGACAGAGTCTTACTAAGTTGCTAAGTTGCCCAGGCTGGGTTCAAACTTGGGATCCTTCTGCTTCAGTCTCCCAAGGTGCTGGGATTACAGGTGTGCTCCTGTATATATTTTAAATGTATTATGAAGAATTTAAGGCAAAAAGATATAAAATAATGCAATCAACACTTGTGAAATAAAACATTACCAATGCAATTGAAGATCTCTAAATATCATCTAGGATTAAATCTCTTTTTCCCTCACAGAATTGTTCACTTCTCTGAATTTGTTATCAAAAGTCTCCATGCCCATTTTCATTGTTACACTTTATATAAAAGTAATAAAGCTTACTGCATTGTATTCAGCCAATATCAAGACACTGGGTACAGTGGACATGGCAGTGACTAATCCTGACAGTGGCTGGGACATGGAGCCATAGAAATGATCACCCACACAACCAATGACAACAGTGGTCTGCCACCATATCACACTGAATGCCCCCAATCTCGGAAGCTAAGCTAGGTCAGGCCTCGTTAGTACTTGGATCAGAGACAAGTGAGGTGAAGAGCTACAAAGTAAAAGCATTGGTAGT